GGATAATGCTAATCTAGAGTGTCCGGGGCGAAATTGTTGTGTTCAGGACGCCCGAAAATAACCTCTGAGACGTTTTGGGCGGTAAATTGGGTTCTTTTCCTTTCTTTCTTCCTTTCTTTCTTCTTTTTTTCTTTTTTACCTTAAAAAAGGGGGCGACACGGTCCTCCCACCCCCCAAATCCCCTGTTAGGGATAATGACGAAAAGGAATATCATACACACAGTAAGCCTAGTACTTATAGGCCTACACAAGAAGGAAAAGAAGAATGGGTGTTATCCGGTTCTCAAGCGGAAACACCGGACGATTGCAGACTTATTAGTCCGAATATTGGGGGCTCAAGGGGGTGAATTTTCCTCCCAAAAATGACCTTGTATCATTTTTAATCCGACAGTAATACGTTATTTTCTATTCCATATGTAGGCCTACATCTTCCATCTTCATGGTTCCATAGTTACAAAAGCATTGTTTGGTCAACGTTTGCATAAGCCCCATACCATAATTTGCTTATATGATAGGATATTCCAAGTATCAAAATATTTAACTTTAAAATAACTTTGCATTCCGTTAATATTTTCAAATTTATACTTTGTCTCTTCCGTTCAGGTTTTAATAATTACATTAGAATGCCAGGTTTGGTCAACCTGCGCATAATCATACCATTGTTTTTCAAGACAAATGTATCGTTAATATCAACAATGTAATTATTGAGCACCTCTCAGTTGTTTATAATAAGCAAACTGGTCATGCATAATATTAATAACCTTGGTCTGTAAATTCTACATGGAATGTTTAGTAACCGGTCTATTCATGGACTATTTCGGAGACTAAAATAATAATAATAATAATAATGATAATAACAATAAATAATAAAAAACTTTAAACATTAATGATAATAACCAAAAATATTTTAATGGCCATTATGATTATCATTTAGATAATTTAATTAACTTAAGTGCTTTCTACTTGAAAAAACATGGTATAAATATCGGAAAGTGACATAACAGTCTCTGAACCAGTATGTTAAACATGGTTACACAATTTCGAAGATGACAGGGTATCAGGGGCGGATTTAGGGGGGCCGGCCCCCCCCCCCCTTTTGGAAGGTAAAAAAAGAAAAAAAAAGGAAAAAAAGAGAGAAAAAGAAAAAAATGATAGCCCAAAATGCCTCAAATGTTATATTCGGACGTCTAGAACACAAAAAATTCGCGGGGGAATGCTCCGGACCCCCTACGACAGTGTTGTCTCAATCGGCCCAACTTTCGCTTCCGGCCCCCCCCCCCCCTTTTGGACATTTCTGGATCCGCCCCTGGGTATTGAAACAGGCCTACAGAGGAAATACTTTCCGATGTGCGAATACCCCTCATTGATTTCTCTGTGATTATTCACATTGGGCTCACCCCTTTCAGCTCGCTCCCCCTAAGGCCTTCTTACCATTTCAGATAAAGCATTGAACTTAAATAAGACCTTCGATCGCCGAGTCATTCATATGCAGTACGGTAGGCCTACTGTAGATGGATCGGTGAGGGGCTAGACATTTTGAAAGAAGTAATCTTTGGAGCCAGGTAGGTAGTCGGATGTCTTCAGAGGGAATGCATTATGATGATGAAACCACAGACGATCCCAAATTCCTCCGACCTCAAAAGCAGCCTAGTTGCTTATATTGTATTCAGTAGCACTTACTTATTGCTGTTTGAACTTCTCTCACCAAATATTTACCCAACTATCTCGCTCAAGACGCATTTCGACTTTCATAACAATCGACTAAAGCTCAGTCCGCAGTATAACATGCTATGTGATATGCCCATGCAGTATTTGAATGCCGAATGTGACATCATCATTGACATTAAATTTGATAGTGTGGACAGAGCATTATGATAGTATGAAAACCTAAGTATGAAACCTAAGTAAGAGTTTATATTCTTCAGAGGTGTTATATTGACATGTCTTAACAAGTAGGCCTACGTGACTAGTTGTGTGTGTGTGTATGTAGTTCTGGTTTAATGATGAATGACGTCATGTAGTGCCTTTGTGTGCAATTGCACTAACAAGTGTGGACGTACTTTTAATGATTGCAGTAACCATGTCATGGTTCTTTGAATGTTACTATGACCGAGGTCCTATTCACGTGTACAATTAAAACATGCACACACTGCGCAACGACGGTCGTCGCGATTCAATGGCGAACGCAACGCGACGGTGCGCGCAATGGGTCGTTATTTAACGACGATCTTCCGCTCAGTTTGTCAGCTACAATCCTGACACATCGCTTGTGTCGTCTCATGAAATATGGTCAGCCGAAATCGTACGATCGTCGGCCGACGCAATGTGCGCCCGGCTAATATAGGCTAATTGCACTACAGTAACAGGATGTGTGAACAAGGAGGTAGTATGCCTCCTTGGTGTGAACTGCCGGGATGTTTCATTTTCAAACAGACGCATAAGGATATGTACCTTTGGGCACGAAATGTATCATTTTGAATGTTAAACCCTCTTTCAAATTTGAATAAACATTGAACGAGTAATGGAAATCTGCCTGTCCCTCTGTATAATGTAATACAATGATTCATAGACATTAAGAGATTTTGATATGGGCCTATAAATGATCCACCGAACGTTATTAGATGAAAAAGCACGGACAAATATTGTGCTGTCTGGTAGATACATACAGGATGTAATGCCTGATTCTAACCAAGGATGACCTTACCGATCTTCCTATTACATCGCTAATACAGTAGCCAGTCTGGGTTTAGGTCAACCGCCCGTCGAAACCACACAGCCGGCGGAACCGGGGCCGGGGGGAGCCAGTGGCCCACATTTTTATTTAAAAACTACAACGTGAAAAAACATTAAAATATGTCAAAAACGCCGAAGACTATACGTATATCGGAACCTTAATTAGTCAGGATCTCGGGCCGTTTCGTTTGTTACCCTGTATGCATCAGGATAACGTATTTGTACCGACATTGTACGTTTGTGATAATAGGCCCAATGGGCATAAGCCCAAGGGACTAAGGTAGGCCTATATCAATGCCTGCTAATTAGTTATAGCCCTGCACCCTTCGTGACAAATAGTTTACACACATCACAACGACCTTAAAAAATAGGCTACTTTTAACTCATCCACGCTTTCTGTGTTGGCAATTCACTCAAATAACTGTACAAGATACCAGTTTGTTGACTTTTCAGTGAACTAATACAGTACTAGTTTTGGCGAGAACGAGAACATTTACATAGGTTTCTTACCGGTAGGGCTTAGAGTAGGAAAACGTGAAATCAATATTACAGAATATGTTAAATATTAGACCTGTTGCTAGAATTAGTAGTACAAAGAAGACTACCACGCGTGTTGAAGTGAAAAGCATATAAAATAGGTACCATCCCACGTTTAAGCCAATACAATAACTTTAGCACACAGTAGATCTCCTATGAAAAATACAAAAACGTTTGGCAAACTTCGACATCAAAAATAAGTAGGCTTATTGAAACTCGAACGTCAAATATGCACGCCCTTTGTATACCACTAATATTGTCTGGAGAAGGATAAGGCTCAATTGAAACGTCCTCTTGCCTATAGGCCTAAATAATATTTTTTATTTTATCTTCCCTCGGAATCTTCAAAGTATTCAGAAACCAGTAAATTCCTACTTGGACTATAAAAAATACACAAATATGTTTTAAATCTCGCAGAAATTAGAATGGAAATTGATCTCTTTTACAGTATTAGCGGTGCATCAAGAACTAGTGCTGTTTATCTACGATGGCGCAAAAATTGTTAATCGGATTTGATTCCCAGTTGGAGCAACTTTCTTCACAATCGCATATTCCTCTTTAACGTTCAAAATTAACCCTAATTTGATTATAATATACATAGGCCTATAATATATATTCAAAAAATAATCTAGATGTGTATAAGAGACAGGTAACAGGATGTGAGTCCTAGGTTTATCTCAAAAACCACTGACCTGTCATCAATTTAAATAAATTGAAGGGGTATATTAACCAACTCCCACTTCCAGAGCCGTAAAAAGTTGTTTTTTTTTTGGTTTTTTTTGCTGGTCTAGTTTTTCCAAATAATTGCTAGCCCTTATATATCAGCTATTGACTATTGGTCTAGTTTTAATGTATTTTTTTGCTAGCCCAGCCCTAAAATACTCAAATCCCAGACCCAGGACCACCAACTTTTTACAGCCCTGACTTGGGATGGTTAAAACTGGTCGCAATAATTGACAGCGAGTGAGAGGGGTACAGTAAAGAGATTACAGTAATTCCTTGATTTTAGGTTCGTCTATACCTACTAAGAGAAGATGACTACACGTACAGTACTGCTATTTTTTTTTATATATATATAATTATATTGATGACTGATAATATGGGTAACACGTGTAGGCCTGGGCCAACCTGTCAACATAGATTATCAATGACAGTTTAAAGGAGGTACAGTGCAATACTGTCGGCCAAAGACCACGGCTTATATTTGTCAAGTTGTGTGCTTGTGTATATAAATGCTGCTGTGATCATTCATTCCTTCGACTTCACATAATGCTTTTAAAAAAATGATGTTCAGAATCTTTCGTTTCTGGGAAAAGAACAAGGCCTACACACTTTACAGAATCAATCATAATGACAAGGGTTATGCACCAACGCCGTTTAACTAAATTAATTATTATTTTTCGTATATTGTAGTGTCGTAATGCCACCATCACCATCGTACTACTACTCTATGGAGTTTTTACTCCATGATTTAACGTGAGAAAGTTTTAGCAAAATTGGGCTACACCACCACTTCGCAAGGTTGGTTGTGAACTGGTAGAAGTTTCCAACTGATAATGAATGAAGCCACGTGTAATACAGTACCACTATTTTTCTACATCTCCTGACTATACTATACTATCATATGTACATAGTACACCCTTGACTTTAAGACACGCAAGGAAAGGGTTATATTCCTATTGTTATATGCTTTTAAAATTATACGGTAAATACCCTGGCCAAACTGGTTGTAATACTGTCAAAGCAAGTAGATAAATGCTAAAATTTTCCGACATAGAGCCTAGAGGCCTATTGTTGTCATTAAATGAACTAGCTCACCTGTTAAGTACAAACTCAAGCAAACGCATCCAGATCAGAATAAGAGGGGGGGGGGGGGGATCTTCTCGGAGGATGAAATAGATAACCACCAAATCAATGTAAGACGCAAGATAAATACAATATCTCTGCGCCGATAAACACGTAAAGGACAATGGAATAGATAAACCAGAGAAAAAAATAAGGAAGTGACCAGCAGCATATTGTGGTTTTTAGTTTAGATAATAAATTCGACTTCCCCAAAAGTAATAGAACCGATAATCCCAAGACGTGGCAACGGTTGGAGAAAAATACGAATCAATTTAAAAATAACTTACCAACTTATTATAATCAATATGGCGTCGGTTTATTCCACCTCAACGTTTGATTTCTGCCTTTCCAGACATTTAGTATTAATGTATACCATCGGGTGAGCGAACCATTTTATGACTGACAGTTGTGGAAAGGTTCAGATTTAACCGGGCACACTGCTCTGAACTCCAAGGACTAGTCCATTAATAATTTAGGGGAACGTTTTCGCCATATAATTGCGTGATGGCGCTATTTTTATGGCTGTTGTGATTTTAGGAACCGAATTAAAATGGTATTTTAAATGTTAATACAGGATTTGCATTTTTATAAAAAGTATTTTCATAAACTTCAACAGAAACTCCAATATTTGAGGTTGTAAGATGCGGTTTTGTGTAAGCATTAGAGTATGGTTATGAGTTAATACAGGTCTTCCTCTATCAAAGACCCCTTGTGGTCCAAAATTCACAAATGTATTTTATCTTAATATTCTAATTAGAGACCAATGCTGCTAAAAACCATAAAAACCCTGGTCCCAAATGTGGTCTTTGGAAGAAAGCCGTGTAGTACTTGGGCCACTAGTATTACGAATACTTAAGGGTACAAATAAGACATCTAGGCATTAAGCATTGGAAAATAATTACCCACCCACGCTTCCTGTTTTGGAAATTACCGTCCACGAATAACAATTAGTTATACGTGAAATGTTGCAAATTTTGATGAGCTGTTGAAATTTAGTTCATTAGAATTGCTTGGCTATGCCTGCCCTGGAAGTTTGAATAAAGTTGTGTTTAATTGCTAAGTTGTTTTTTTTTTTTTTTTTTTAATTACAGTACAGTATTTGCAGACGTAGAGTGAATACCGTTCCATTCGTTTGAAATGCCACTAATAGGCTCGTAATAAATTAAAATATTAGAATATTTAAAGAATCATAAACTGAATCGTTTCGATCTGTTTCATTGGTTAAAAAATGAACATTTAATCATTTTTTATGGTATTGTCCACTTAATCAACTTATAATTAGTAACTAATACAGTAGTAGCACATTTTTATGAATGTTGTTATTAATCACAATAGCATATAGTAGTTCTGTGATTGTTGTGATTAACGAGAAAAACAATTACAGTACACAGGGAGTTGTCATAGTGACTATAACAACTCCCTGCAGTACACCAGAGACAAAATAAACGATGGACCAGGAATTTGTGTTTTTACAATAGATATTCATGATATATTTTAAATAAACACATTACGGGCATTGCTACGACCAACAATGGTAAATACAGAAAAATCATGTGATTATTCAACAAGGTTTTAGTTTCATGTTATTTTAGTTTACAGACACTGATTTTTCAGTGTGGGTAGCCATGTTGAAAATCTAATAAAAACGAGGTGGCTGAGCACTTTACAAACAAATATCCACATGTTCACATAGTGAAAGTTTGTAGGTGACATGGTCTTTAGGGAAACTCTAAATGACATAGATACTGAAATAAATTTTTGGTACAGTAGTTCGATGCACGATATAAATGTCACCCTCATAATTCACATTTCATTCTGTTACTAATAATCCCAGAGGTCCCAAGTTGGAAGAACCCATTTCCGGGAGATTCGTTTAATGACATTGGGGGCGCTATATATTCTATGAGGAAAAAGTGTAGGTACCAAACGAAGGGCCACGCCCACCGCAGGCATACCATGATTGGGGCTGAGGTGATGACATTTTTTGGAATAGGCACATTTAAAAGCCCGGAAATGGCACTGTCAGTCTGCAGAAAATAATCGGCAACCAAAGTTTAGGCCTAAATAAAACAAAAAGATTTGTTTTTTTTACAGAATTTGCGGGAGATAAGTGAATTTGCGGGAGATTTCTGCTTGTTTGCAGGAGTGCAAGAGACCATACCGATTTCCTTGAGACTCCCAGGAGTTCCGGGAGACTTGGAACCCCTGTAATCCTAACAAATACTATTACAGCAACATCTATAAATAATTACATTCATTTAATTCTTGTTCTTACATTTAATTGGTGCTTCTGAATAATGATTGGTTGCCTTCTTTCAAAAAAAATTAGCAAGTGCCAGGCCACTCTTACATATTGACTAATCAACACCTTCTGATCGGTTAAAATATTATAATTCTTTTTCTTAAATATATCTATGAATTTTCATACATTTTTCTTATTGTCAATATACATTTGTAATCATAAGAACATAATGATTAAATTGAATTGGACGAGGCATGTCATTTGCATGCTATCGTTTAAATACTATAAGTTTAGAACATTAACACAAAACTTGATACCTAATTTGAACTGACATTGTTCTGCACCAATAATCACATTACTTTCATAAAAACTGGATAAAAATTGGATATTTGCTATTGCTCTTTGAAGGTAATGTTTTAATACCAATAACAGAAAAAAATGTAGCTAGATTAAAACAAGCTTTACAACTGACTTACAGTTCAAAGCTGAAAATAAGGTGATTGTCAAGTCAAATCCTGCAGAATAAATACACAGATAATGAATAAGGGTAGATATTCTGATATATATTATTCCCAGTCTCTTTTCAACAACCATAAACCAAATCATATTTTTCTTTATGCTTTAACATTTAAAACAACTATTCACAAAAACAGATTCACCCGGTCTATAATATATGTATACATCTCTATCAATGAACCAACGTGGAAAATCTTGGGCGTATGTTACCATATACAACACTGTAAATATAGTTACTGGGAATATTTAGGGTGCTCAATGCAGCAAAAATATGACAAAAAAAAAAAAAAGAAAAGAAAAATACAGGCTAAAATAAATAATGGAGTTAGTGTTTAGGTTTGATGTAAAATTTATATGGTCAAATATGGTCATGATGACATCACATCATGATCATATATTGTATTGGCATAAAACAGTTTTTGTCAAAGAGAATTTGATAGTGTGGACAAACTTTAGAGCTACCAAGTGGAGTTGTAGCCTTCTGGTTTTTCGATATTGTCTTCCAATCCCAGAGTCATGTGTTCGAAATCCTGCAGAGACCAGGATTTTTTTCTCAACATTAAACAACTCGACCCTCACACACAGGTCATTCCATCCTGTAAGTAGCGAGTCACTCAATTTTAGATTAAGATGAAATAACAATTTTTAAAATAAAATGGAATGATTTCTCTGTGTGATGTTGGTTCTGCACCTCATCAATCCTCATGTTCGCACCTGGAACTTGCCTGCTTTTGTTACATACTTCACCCCTTTAAATGGCTTGTATTTCTGTGATGAAACAAATGTAACAAATATACTTATACTGTCTTCTACCAACTAAAACTTTTGTTTCAAATTTTTATCTAGAATGTGGTGTTATATATCTACACAGGAGAGACAAATTAATTTTATTTGATTTTTAATATGATTTATTTAACTATAACAAAACATACAATTTTCAATATTGTTATTACAAGCATTGAAGAAAACACCAGATGGTATGAAACGAAAAATACAATAAATGTTATGTTATGATCAATAATATGAATAAGATTTGTTTGTTTTTAATACATTTAAATAGATATTTGTAGGTGTACTTACTTCCCCATAAATGTCCAAACGATTAACTTTAAGTCCTGAGATGGCTAGTTGTGAGATTGAAAATTGCACCTGGATTGAAAGCGAGAGAAAAAAATGCAAAATAATCATCACTGCAATGATTAATGACAGCCTTAATATTTGACAGACTTTGATAATCGTAAAATAATGAATTATTTTAATACTTTCATACTTACATTTATTGATGGGTTTGATTCTGGAGGTGGGGCTCCACCTTGAAGTGCCAGCTATCAATTAAAAATAAACATTTATTAGAAATATATCCAAAAAAATGATGGATAATTAATTATGAATTTAAGATAAACTAACACTTACACTTCCCTTGATGCTTGGTATTTTCTGTGGCGTGATCTTTCCAACTTCCCAACTTAACACTTTAGATACGGGGTCAAAGCTATGTAATCCTTGTGTCGTCGTTAGTGTAACATTCAGCACAGTCTTGGGCATGTCACATGACAATACAACATTCTCCACCTGAGCATGAACAGTAATTAGTCAATTGATACCTGGTACACAAAGATGTAGTAAAGTTTGTAGTATATCTGCAGGTTTCCCTTGAATAATTGTAAATATACTGTATGGTCTTTTGTTGAATATCCATTCAGAAAACTCCCGATTCAATCCCTGTGGGACAAGGGCAGCCTGGAGCAGCACCAACCAACTGCTTGGTAGTACACTTACCCTACTCTTTTCCGATAACGTACCAAGTTAATTTTTGTGCACATAAGCAATCATGTACATAAGACCAAGATCTTAACACTGCATCCAAACAACAAATTAATGACGGTAAATTGTTTTACCGAAGTACAAAAGCAAGAACAACATTACTGGAAGGTTTCAGACTTTGGTACTGTCACACACAAGTCTAATCCCTTTGTGATCTTTCTATCTTCATAATATTCCCAAATTGTTAGAGATGCTTGTATTGTGAATATGTGAGTGTAGTTGGTGCAGAAGTTGGACTTCTCGTAATCATGAGGTTGTGGGTTTGAATCCAACTTTAATTCTTGAGCAAGGCAGTTTATCACAATCATTCAAACTATTTGCATTGGGCATTGTACAGTATACTTAGGTTTGTAACTGATTCATAATCATTATTTTTAATAACTTACCACTTTCCCCATTGTCTGTTTTGGTCCAACTGTGAGTTCAAATTTACCGGACCCTTCACGGAAGGAAATGTTGGGTTTTATATATAATGGAATAGCTGTAAGGCTAGAAGAATAAAACAAATTGGCATTGCTTTAATCAATTTCCTGTTGGTGTATTTGTTCTATAGATTTCACCGTTCCCTGAATCTAGAGCAGTCAATTGATTCTCAGTTAAACTTATCGAAGTCAACTTTGCCTAACTCAAATAACTTCTAAGTCGATCATATTTTACATGCCAAATTGTTGTGTTTTTCATTAATTAACAATCTGTAAGTCAATTTTATCTAAGTTGAATGATTTTCAATGCCATTTTGGATTCGACTTAGGCAAGTTCAAGTGTATGTCAATTTGTCACAAAGCTGGATGAGCAGATAAAATAGTAATATTAATAGGAAGTACTAAGTTTGATTTTTTTCCAATTAAACTGCAATATTTTAGGCCTATGCATTGAAATTTCATGACAGATGATGATCTTCATCATGACTTAACATCATGACAATTAGGATTATGATGAGGATAACCATCTTTGCCTATCATCATGGTTATCATCATTATCAATGACCAATATCATCATGATAATTATCATCACAGTCATTAATCATTTTAATCATAATCATCAATCATCATTGATCATCACCAATGATCATGATCATAATCATTGTATTAAAAAAAAAACATACTTAGATGCTCCAACGTGATAGGTTAGAAGTTGAAAGTTGCCATCAGGTGGTACAAATGATATCACTCGCTCAGACTGCAATGGAAAAAAAACAAAGTTAAACAGAAAGCATTTGTATAAAACCAACAAAAGTGTTATTTTAAATGCTTAATTGGGCAGAAATTGAAACATAATAACACTACATAACAGAATGGGTGGAGTTCACTTCCAGTTTCTATTTCTCTGTTTGTATTAAGTGATATCACCTTGATATATTCGGTGGCAGATTAACAATTTCTCTGCTAGAAGAAGCAGCAACCAGGCATTTATGGTTCAATTGCTTTTTCCAGATTTTTAGCAATTTATAATTATCTCTTGTCTTAAATAATTTCACACTTGTTTAGACCTCATATTCGCTACTGTCGGGAAGGGGGAGGGGTGAGTACCCATTTCAACCCCCCCCCCCAAAGACTCTCTCTAGACTACAATGAGATGGTAAAGAAATTCCCATAAGCCTTGCATATTATAAATTGTCATTATTTCCATCAAATATCATCAGCTTAATTGCTATTTAAACTATACTAAGCGTCTGTTTTCAACTTACCTCCCATCGTTTGTAGCGGACACATGGGTGAAAGCTGACATCATCCATGATTCTATGGTTCATAAACGACATGGTAAGGTCTGGCATTCCCGATAGTTTCACAGTGCAAGTTATAGAACCTTGGATATCAGCAAACACAGTAGAACCCTGAAATATCAATTTTTTAACATACTCAATTTATAAAGCAAATGAAATAGCATGGGTAAAGCTTCAAGCAATCTATTAAAGGTAAATGACTTTGAGTCTAATGCTGGTTACACTACACTTAATAAATGGTCATGAGTTTGTGCCTAATGTTGATTACATCACCATTGGGTAAAGCAATTTAGTATGGAGAGCAAGTGGCACGATAGTAAATCTTTAGACATTTGTCATTAAAATTTTAAAATTTTATTATATTTTTAATTTCCATCTAGATGCTTTTTGCAATAATTTTTTCTAAAGCCGGGCAATGACTGTGTCATATGACAGTCATACGAGGAATCTAACTTGACCTCCTGCGAGCACTAGACGACGCGGCACCGTCTGCTGATTGCCGGTGGCAGTCTGAACAGATCATCATTAAAAATGATCCGTTTTGCGCACCGACGCGTTGCGTTCTTTATAGAACCGCGTTGACCGACGACCATCGGCAGCAGTGAGTGTCCGGCTTAATCGTGAACAATTTTCTCTCTGTTTATTATGAGCTTCTGTAGTGGCTTTGAGTGATGCACATGTCAAGAACATCTGGTTATGATTCTGAAATGCATTATCTTGTATCTCATGTAATCCGCAAAATTGGTAGGCAATGTACTTACAGCTTTATCAATGATGCAGTCGACTTCTTCGACTACGTCGAAGTAGGCTTCGTTGTTTGTGTATTTTACTCCACTTCTCCTCCACGGTACGTTCGATAGTTGACCACTTGGAAGAATATCACTAACACTGAAACATAAATTAATTGCATTATGTTTGTTAGTCACTTACAAAATCTGTCTGTATATCATTTATGTTAATTACTTACACAATCCTTCTTCATATATCTATGTGTCTGCCTAAATATTTAACAATGTCTGTATGTCAAACAGTATGGAAATCCACCTATTACCACTCCATGGTCTATGTTCCAGACTATCTATAAACAGTACTGTATTTATTTTTTTGTCTGTGTTAGTTTGTCTATAAATACAACTGTACTATTAATGTATAGATTTATCTATTTTGTTTGTTGGGCTTTTGATTTGTGTTTTGATCTGTTTATATATATAATTTATCTATATTATAACAAAAAAAAAGTAGATGAATGTTCAACTTGTTATATACAACTTATCTACTTTATCTTACATGAATGTTCAACTTGTCATATACAACTTATCTACTTTATCTTACATGAATGTTCAACTTGTTATATACAACTTATCTACTTTATCTTATTTTCCTCCGTAGAACTTACTTGGAACTACCGGTCACGGTGTTCACAACAGACCGTAGAATGTTTGGCGGCTTAATGAGCTCCTTCAGCACGTTGGACTCAGTAGCCAATGGATATCCATTATCAAGCATCTCCTCCAGCAACTACAAAGAGAAGGTGTGCTACATACATTACAATATTATAATTCCCTGTGTTTGCAGATGAAGTACTGTAAAGGAATACCACACAAAAAGAAAGGGGTTTAGATGAGGATGGGGCAGATGCTGGGAATTGTTTACAGTGAAAATTATACGTAATATGATATCTTTTACTCTTAATTTCTTATTATCTTTATTCTCTAATGGCAACTCAAGTTCTGTTTATATCTATAATAACATTTTGGTTATGCATATAGTATTTAATTGAACAAAATAATATACTGACAGATGATGATGATCATCATGAAGAAAATTATTAACATGCTGTTGATGATAACTTACCTCGTAGACAACAACATAGTTGTCTTTAATATTTGTCTCCGTACATTCACCAAAATAATCTATGAACATGTCAACAATCCGATGCAGAAACTCAATGACAAACAAAGGTGGAGCTAAAAGTAATAAAAAATTGAAAATATAATGCATTATTAAAGAGAAGTAGATTATGTTGATGAAGTATTGAGGTAAAGGTGACATACTTAATTATGATGGTTACAACACCGGCGAGTTGGATGGACGAGCAGTTAATGTAGGGCCGCACGCAACGTATAGCCATGCCTATGGTTCTGGTGGTGGAACAAGTCTTCTCGGAGAAGGACTGTAAACTGTAGGCGCAGTGTACACAATTTGGCCTGTGTGCACTTACAGAAACCCAGTACATCTTTTGAGATGAGTGTAGGGTTACCCTGGGGTACTGGCCCATTCAGTCACTGTAGCGGACAGACGAGAGTAGCTGGTACCGGTTTACTGGAGAGCTCAGACATGAAGAGTCCCCTAGGGGAGAGCAAGTTACTGTAAGAGCTAGTCCACACCTCAAGCGCTTTGAGACCACTTCTCTGAAAAGTTAATAAATAGACTTCCAATGGCAGCCTGTCTCTACTGCCATATTCGTGTCATTGGTTAAAAAATATAAATTTAAATTGAATACTGAATATTTACTACTGCATTGATTCTGAGTATTCCTGATGGCTAACAGTGAACAGCTAGTTACTCATTTGAATACAGATTCTGGCCTGTGTCTCGGTTCTATAGAGGGCAGTTGACACATTTGAATTTTTAGTTTTTTCTATATTTGAAGAAGAAATACTGTACCTTCTGCTTGTACCACAGCCACATAGAAAAGTGAATTACGATAAATGCTTATTAGGTAATGATGAGGAGTAGCAATGACAGGAGGGATGTTTTCTTTACTAGTGGCCTGTAGAAGAAAAACAAGTATGTTATAAAGTGTTAAATTGTTTGTACATAATTGAAAAAAATCCACTATCTTTTCTGAATAGTGTAAATTTCACATTTACCTTGTTCTGTGCTTCAAAGAAATAATCACAAACTGATCTTGATATAACACTACGCCAATGTTTCTCCATAAATATATCCCTACAATTAAAAAAAGAATGTATTCAAAATTAACCAAATTTTTGTACTTCACCAAGCACAGCTGACTTTCAACTATCACTAATCCCATGCAATTTGGGTGATATAAATTCACAGGCTACGGTGGCATCAGAATTGTAAAATCATGTAAAATTAATGATGATTGAAAAGTAGTCTTTTGAAACATCCCTTTTTTGGCTCCTGGTGGTAAAATATATTATAAAAATGCTAACCCTTGGTTGGGCTTGGGTTGGTCATGTTATGCACAGAAAATATGTCCTCACATAAATATTAACTAGACTAGCCTAGGCCCAATGTATAACTACCTAGAATACACAGTCACAAGACACACCCCAGCCGAATAGTAGGGGCCTAGAGGCTAGGCTAGGCCTAGGAAGACTCCGGCCGAGCGAGGGCACGGCCCTAAATTAAACTAGCCTAGGCTACATTTTGATAAAATAATCATAGATTTAACTAACTTACCCGGAGGAATTAATCATGAACAGACTGCTTATCATGTTGCTGATTATGCAACAATATTTATATCAACCAAACTTAAAATATTTTCACAGATCAACCTAAGCTAGGCTAGCAGCTAGACTTGCCACAATCCCTTATTATTTTTTTCTCATTCTGGACAGCGCCACCAACGAGCAAGCCTAAAAAAAATCCAGTATGGCACACTAACTAAATTTGGTATAGCGCGCACTAAGTGCAATAAGGAGTGAGTAACCAAAAATTAAGGCCTGGAACCAACCCAAGCTAAGATCAATCAACAAAAAACAAGAATTCAACAATGGTTTGCTGCAGCAACATCCAGCACAGAGCAATAGAACTCACCATCATCGTGAAGCACGATATTATATTGCGCAGGCGTTGGTTATTTCATTCGTTGACGAATCATTCATGGGGGTCGGCATAAAGAGGTACAATTTTCGGTCCCTACTTCGTGTGATTTTACCGGTAAACAACAAACAATATTGTTAGGGAATATATGTTACATTTTAACTTAGCCAAAAGTGGCCAAATTTCTGTTACTTATTTATATTTAACTCTTCTGCGTTTTAATTTAGCAGGCCCATAAAAAAAATCAATATCTGAGAAATAAGTAACTGATAACAATACATTATTAATCCAGTTCCAACAAAAAAACTCAATTCAGTCAGCCAAGTACTTTTTAAAGGTTTTTCGAGAAAAAAATTTCCTTTTTGAGACAATAAATTATTTTTTCATAAAAAGGATTTTTACAAGCATGTTTTTAAAAAGAACCTGTACTTAGAGATTTTAAGGACTTTTGTAAAGTATTTACAAAGAGTTTTGAAAAGGCTGAATACATTGAGAGCTAGCACAATTTGAATTTAGGAAAGAGGTGCTAGATAGCTGTATGTTAGAGGATGTTTGTTATGCCACAGACCCTATATTATACGAATTTATAGGGTCTGTGGTTATGCAGATTTTGATACTAATAATAAATTGGCCCATAAATTTGAAAATATTAGTAAAGACGTTGAAAGATATGGAGTTGATTGCAAAGACAGAATAGGGTCTACTGATTAAAAATGCATTCATGCCTGCAGCAAAGTGCAAATGGAGAATTCGAGCAGAGTGGACGCGTGGCGATGCGAAATATAGAAATATAGTAGGCCTAGTGTATGCAGGTGTGACAATAGGTAGAAATTTGTAAGATAGATTTACTGACGATCGAGCAGTGGTATGTGTAGTCGGACATTTATATGACAACATTATTTGTAAAGAAGAAAAAACGACGAAGATATCAAGAAGAGTGTTGCGCTTGGCTACTGGTGCTGGCCTTTTAATCCTAGAGTCTTGTGTTCAAATCCTGTAACAGCAGGATTTTTCAACTCCAATTCCATAAGCACCCTCTGATCCATTTAGCTCAAATTAAGCCTAGAGAGTGCATAAAACAAATGTAAAATAGGCATAACCGTTGATCGTACTTATTTTATTTTATTTAGCCTATATCCAACTATATAGAATATCTGTAGAGGTGCGAAATTTTAATTGAAAAGTCTACAAAACTTTGGTGAGTTGATCCACGTTGATTGATTAAACTAATTAGAAAATGCATAAGTAAATGTTAAATGAATCATCTAGACAAGCGTCTGTAAATCTATTTAAGCTATCCTCTGAATAGAAACCCTAGATCTTCATATATTTATGTGACGATCTTTCGGTCATTAGGAAAAATGTCCTTAGAACGAATATAAACATACATGTTTCGAATTATTTGAAAAAGAAAGCAACTCTCTGAGATCAGCGGTTGCTAAGATATGGACCTCTATTTTTTCATTCCTAATTTGCATATAATTTGATTATGAACAGTATGTGACCATGGTATATGGTTATAGATATTTATTAATCACGAATATGCCCTAATTAAAATAATTTCCTATAAACAATCGGCCATGATTTAGGCATTTTTATGCACATTTAAGTTGAATGGAGTCAGTAGATATGATCAAAACATGGATGACATCTTTTTTTGGTAGGTCCCCATTTTTCTTTTACGCCAGGTGGCGCAATCTGTCGCCAACCAAACGTTGGTTAGCGTTCATTTACGCCTGAATGACTTCAAAATCTAATATTTTACTTCAAAATGTACTAAAAACATATTATATTTGTTATCGAACACACAATTAATCATCAATTTAAATTTACAAAGAAAAACTAAGATACAACATCTTAAAGATGTGTTGTCCAAGGCTAAATAAAAAAAAAATCATACAAATATTTTTTGAAATTAACTTGCCCATTTTGAAGTAACATAAAAGTTCAACTTGAACATAGAAATTAGTGTTTTTAAAAAATGTCTACCCATCAGTTTACAGCGAAAAATGATAGAAACACTTCCAGAAGTGTTTTATCATTTTTATTATAATTTGTTGGTTTAAAAATCATGGTACACATTTTTTAAATTCAATAATTGTTATTGAATTTTTGTTATTCAAGTTAATAATTGTATGTTATTGCAAAATGGGAGTTTATTTCAAACTTAACATTAGCAAGGGACAATACGTCTTTAATAATTACGTTAGAAATTGGGATCAATGGCTTGTCAGCCCCTCCCCCCCCCCTCCCGGTCGGGGACCCCTCGGGAAAATCCTGGCGCCACCCCGGTGATAGTCATGCAACACTTCAATATTTGTGTTTTGTATTTGTTATTGCGTATACAGTACAAATTTAATTGTACATTTTTCCTGTACTATGGAAAGCGAAAATAAACCCTTTGACCCACGGCTTATTACTTATTTTGACACCATGACCATGCGTAATATTGACCTGGTGCACAGTTGTATATATACGAATCCTGTTTTCTAGCCATATCAGAGTTGACTGGTACTTGGTGTGGTACTAGGTTCATCGCATTTATGGCTTAGGGACCGCGGTGCTTCCTCCCTCCGTTTAGTCATGGATAGTAAACCCGGCGATCGTGGGTTCAATTCCCACACTCGCCAAGTTTTTTGTTTTGTTTTTGTTTTGTTTTGTTTTGTTTTGATTTTTTTGAGGTCGTGGGTTCGATCCCCACACGAGCCAGTTTTTTTTTTTTTTTTAGGTCGTGGGTTCGATCCCCACACGAGCCAGGTTTCCCCCCCCCTTTTTTTTAAATGTAATTGGCAGCATTTTTAGTGGTTGCTATCTGGCTAGATAAACTGGAGGTCGTGGGTTCGATTCCCACACGAACCAGAGGCGGAGCCCAGCTGGGGTCGAGGGGCGTGGCCCCAGGCGCTCCGACGATCTGAGCATTAGGGCCTAAAGCTGTTTTAAAACGATTTCAGGGAGGTGTTGACAATACCGGTGACATAAGCAAAAATATTTTTAGTTTCAATGTAATTGAGCACCCGAACTATGTTGACCTAAACATTTCACTGATAAATTTTTAGTAACGCGTCATTGAAATAAATATTCACGTAAATACTAAGTACTCTCTAATGACTCAATCATGATCGTTTATATATATTTTTAATAAAACCAATTTCTTTTAATTTTGAATACATTTTCCCCTGAATTCTTGTGTGAATAGACTTGTGTTAAATGCGTGACAAATTATGGATCACGCATGTGTTTCTGCAAAATATGTGTTTCATCTAAAATCACTTTGGAATGCGGGACCGTTCCGCACCATTTCAAAGTGTAATTTTTGTAGTATTTCAAATGAATATGTACCCACTGCTGTCTTCTAATTGGATTAAAATCTGGCCGAATTTTGGCCGATATCGAAAAAAAGTTTGGCCGAATTTGGCCGTGAGATGGCGTGTGTTTGGCCGTGAAGCCTGTCGATCGATTGGCAAACACAGATAAGTTTTTCCAGGCCGAAATTTACGATGTCTACCTGGAGAAGACTTGCTTGTACACTCTCAGAATTACGCCTTGATGTTGCTTTAGTTTGCGGCCAAAGTTTTAGGTAACTATTTATTGTGTTTCAAATTAAGGTGGATGGTATATAAATAAGACCGGACGAAATTCTCTAGGCTAGGCCTAGGCTAGCAAGAGTAGTAGTAGTACGGTAGTTAGGCCTCTCTGGCCTAGCTAGGTAGGCCCAGATAGGATAGCTAGGCAGGCCCTGGCTGGGTGTCTATAAAACGAAGACCCCTATTTTTTTCTCTTTCATTTTGACGATAATACGCCAGGCTCTCACAAAATCCAAATTACGAAATTTTTGGGCGTCGTTTGTGAAATTTTCAAGGGTCTTCGTTTTATAGACACCCATATAAATATGGATAATATGGGTGTCTACAAAACGAAGACCGAAGACCCAAAAACGAAGACCTGCAGTTATTTCTCAATTATCTTATTGAAAGTATTTCAAAATCATAAAACAACTGCCAAGTACCTATTTCATTATTTTATCGGAATGAAATGAGGAATATCAAGAAATACTTAAGGGTCTTCGTTTTATAGACACCCTATATGGGTGTCTACAAAACGAAGACCGAAGACCAGAAAAACGAAGACCCACATTTTTTTTCTTTCAATCGTGATGAAAATAATGTTTTTAAATCACTTCATGCTATGTATATATAGTATTCGTCTTCTTAGCACATTTGTGCCTGAATCTGAGTCAATTGAATGATTTACCCTTTATTCCAGTTCCAAAGCAGCAACCAATGTTGTACGTCCACAGCTGGGGTGCACAGCTGGAGGTGGCTGAGCGCATCTTGGCGCTCCTACGCTCTAAATGAAAGTAATGCTTGGCCTAGCGGTACGCGTATCTTGGGGGCCTACAAAAACCTTGAATATTTCATTCCATGTTAAAATAAACAGTAGGAATGTGGTATAGTGACGCATATGTGCAGCATCGGTCATTTGGTAGTGACACCAACATAGGATGGACGAGATAATTAAGGGTCTTCGTTTTATAGACACCCTGTATGGGTGTCTACAAAACGAAGACCGAAGACCCGAAAAACCAAGATCCACATTTTTTTTTTCTCCCAATCGTGATAAAATAAGAAATATGTACTTGGCAACTGTTTTATGATGATTTTGAAATACTTTCAATAAGATAATTGAGAAATAATTGGAGGTTTTCGTTTTTCGGGTCTTCGGTCTTCGTTTTGTAGACATCCATATAGGGTGTCTACAAGACGAAGACCCTTGAAAATTTCACAAACAGACGCCCCAAAAATTTCTTAATTTTGATTTTGTGACAGCCTGGCGTATTATCAAAATGAAAGAGAAAAAATAGGGGTCTTCGTTTTTTTGACACCCGGCGGGCCCTCTAAAAATCGCCCGGAGACGTCTGGATCGCCTGGATGGATGGACGTCAGGAAAGTTATAAATGGCTGTGATACGACCAGAGAAATCCTAGGCCTCAGATGACTGGAGATGGGCGGGGCTAGTAGGACCGTAGATATTCACTTGTTATTAAAGAAGACTGCAAATACCAAAATTGGTTAATTGATCAAAATATTCTTTAAATTAGGTTTTTCTGGTGAAAATTGCATTCTGATGCTATCCTAATGAAGTTGGTGTCAAATTAAAGGAAGCTAGAGGAAAATACAATACATTTTTAATGAAATCAATTGGTTGTAAAGTTATGACAATTTTAATATCGGAATATCACAGCCAAAGACATAGCAACACAGTGTTCTCCCCACGGCAATAAACTGTAACGGCCCTGTTACAGCTTCATTCAGAAAACAAGTTTACCGTTACAGATTCATTCAGAAACAAGTTTACCGTTACAGCTTAAATTTACCGATACACCTTGTATGACTCATAAATGTTCAGTTTATCAATTGTTTATACACAAGCTCTACATATACAACTTCAAAATACAAGGGAAATGCACTCTATCTTTCCGTAAGTTTGTGATTAACAAAGGATAAACTATAAGCCAGAAACCACAAGTCTGAGCTCTTGAACCTTGTTTATTTACAGCATAAACATAGGACCATGTGCTGTGCTAAGCCTACCTACTTCTCTAATCCCTACACTTTTAAATTTCATGTGACTACATCACTCTTTCTATTATTAAACCTTTTAAAACACAGTTTATTATTTGTGTTCCATGTATACTCATGATGACATAGGTTTTTTTGTGTTCTATTTCTAAATAAACATAAACAACTTCAGACATTCTCAAGCCTAGGCAGTGAAAGTTGGCCCTCATCCAAAAAAACAAACAATCACGCATCACTGGCACTAGGTGAAAGGTGGACCATGTGGCAAGATGTGTATAAGAGATTCTATGGGCTGCTGACTTGTCCTTGCCCATAACTCCTGGTTGCTGATCACATCTGGGTACAATATTCTTAATATTTTTCATAAGCAAGAGTTTATAATTGTCTGGATTCTTCTAGTTAAATCTAAGCTAACACTACCCATATTCTTATATCTATCACAATTTCTTTCACAGTCAAGAGCAGTGGTAGGGTAATTGCAATCAGGTGCAAAGCAGCCTTCCATCTCTTTGGACTTGGTAGAATACCTATATGAAAACAACAGAAATAAATATTAAACAGTTAATATTCTTACTCTAGGTCTAGGCATATAAACTCAGTTGTTAGTCGACTTCACAAATTTGACTGTTTTCGGGTTGAGAGTGCCACAATTCCCTAACGCAAACAAACAAACACCAGTAACAAGTGAATAAGTATTAACAACTTTATTTTCTTTGTCCTTCGATTGGCTGTCTAACTGTCTGTCAGGTGACTAAAAATAGAAATATTTAGTTACCATTATGAGATAATAACAACATAATGAAATATTAGAATAAAATCATTAAACAATACAATAATACAATTCTATTAAAACTACATAGAGATGTAGTCTAAAATACACAAGTAGTATCAACTATCAAACCACCATAAACACACTTGTTCAGTTCAAGTAGTGTTAAGTTATCAATCATAACATAACATGAATAATTTAGTACATGCGTTGCATAAATTATTTCTCAATGCATTATAACCAGCATAGTTTAATTGTGGATTAGAACACCAATTGAAATACAGTATAAGAATAACTGAATTTACCAGTAAAAAACAATTACATTTAACAATTCATAACAAGCAAATGCATAGCAATCTCAGCCCATACAATACTAAATACAATATAACCTTACGAAAACTATGGCGCAACAATGTCTGATCAGTATACAGACTTCATAATTATTAATACGATGTACCAAGTGTATCATCTTACACTGTAAACAAATGTATAATCATATAATAGACATTGGAATAGTAGACTGTAATTATCATAATTACGGTACAGTAAAATATATATATCATTCAATAGTGCTGCTACTAGTTAACAAACATGTTATCTTTAGCTAAAAATAGCACAACAACGTCTATAATAAGATGCCGGTCGCTTGAACAACAGGGCCAACTGGTAAGGTTTCAATAGGGAAATTGGAACAGCTTGTTCCAATTGAAACCAGTTGCCAATTGGTTACGGTTAAAACCAATTGGGCAACTGGAACCAACTGATTTCAATTTGATTTTGGTCCTAGGTTATTTACTATTTAGTTTGGATGTTTGGATATCACTAATTTCAAAATAGTTGTTAACATATATTTTGTTCAGTTGAATGAGGCAGTGCTAACAATATTCAAAAGGCCAAATAAAAAAAAAAGAGTTTGATTTTCTAGTTTCAGTTGTAAATTGATTTATCAGTATTAACAGTGTGTCCAAAAAGTATACCCACACCAGGTACAATGATGATAATGATGATGATGATGAAGGTCACAGGTGATGTATTCTAATATTACCTGAAAACTGCTTTTCAAGCTCTGCAATGACATGATCCACAAAGGGCACAGCATAGTTCACTCTGAAATAGGTCTCGATCCTGTGGTCGCATGCTCTTTCTTCACAGTTGCAGGACGTGGGCTCTGCATTTGGTCTGTGAGTTTGTCTTGCCGCAAGCCTGGGCATCTCCACTGACACATCAACCTTGAACAACAATATGCATTTAATTATTGCCAGTTATTGTCACTTCTTTGATCGTTCTTAACATTTTCATACAGCTTAGTTTTGGATTACTGGTATTTCTTAACTGATTAGGGCTTTAAATATGTTTAGGGGGCATAATACGATTGCCATTGTCAAACATCTGAGCAGGTCTTTCACTTGCTCTGATGTCTGATTTGGATAATAATTAAAGTAATTGCTGTCTTTCTTTCAGGCAACGACATGTAGTGCCATCTGATCAAGGTCACTCATTATTGTTTAATTGTCACATTACGGTTTTACCTTTATTTAATTGAATATTGTATTTATATCTGGAGTTGAATAACTATTGTCACATGCTGATTTTTATTACTTTTAAAAATTGAAAAGCATGTGAAACTGATACCATAATAATACCATTCCCATGTATAAAATGCAGTCTTTTGATTGTGATTGCTGAAGTTGAATAGAAGCATGCTATATATGAAGTATTCAGTTGCAAATCATCTATATTATTGAAAATGGTTAAAGAATTATCATTTGCATTAAAGATTGTAGACGCTTCTCCTTAAAGGAATATATAAACATACCCTCCGTGCCATCCTCTTTGCATGTTCAAACCACTTTTTGAACCTTGCTTCAATGTTTTCCCACAGATTCTTGTAGTAATTACATCATCAACCTGGAATAATGTAAAATTTATTTAAACAAGAGGATTGTAATGTAATTAATTATAGTTGAAAAGAAAGACACAATAAATAACAAAAAAGTGACAAAACAAATACTTAGTAGTCTTCACATAAACTTTTTTTCACTGAACTACTGTAGCAATATCTCATTTAATTTTGTGAGGGTTTATTTCTTATTTTTTTAATTAAACCAACAAGATTGACTAGATTGACTTTTTTTCTAGATCGTCAGAGAATGGACCATCAGAAAAATCAAGAAGCACTAGTAAGCCCTGGCACTGGCAATTTATATGATGCACTGTAATAATTCCGAA